TGGTATTCTAAAATAATAAAAATTAAGTTTTTTTAGAAATGTTGCTATATCTTAAAAACTAACAATTTTATATACATATAGAACATGCTTAATAAAAGTTGAAGTGGACCGATATGTGAATATAATAGAGCAATAAAATACAGGGTGTTCCATTTGAAAAATTTTAGAAAATCAAGTTTAAACTTTCTAAAAACTATGGTATTATAAAAAATGCCCTGTATAAAATATCGATATTAGCTAATATAGGAGTATTTGTCTAACATTTGCCTATAACTCTGTATAATTATTTTGTTCCATGTGTTAGTAGCTGAAAGTTAACACAACTTCTTCGAGGTCATGTTTTTTTCCAAAACTCTAAGAATTTTCTACATAACTTGGCAACCCCGCACTAAAATGAAAACTGTTTATATTGCCATATACAGTGTGTTTCAAATTAATTTTATCCTTTAGGTTTTTTGATTGTATACAACTTTTATATAAACTTTTCTTCTGTATTATGAGTAACAAGGGAGTTATTTTACTTTCTCATACTAATGGCCCACCTTGCATAATAAATCTAACACGTTTTTAGTTTTGCGAAAACAAAATGAGGTACATAATTTTTTTTCCAGGTCGTTTTTCCACCGACATCATCGGTTCTTGCGCGTTTGGGTTGGACTGTAACAGTTTCGAAGAGCCCAACTCCCCCTTCAGAGTGTACGGGAAGAAAGTTTTCCGACCCACCGCTTTGGATCAGATTAACATCCTTATTTCGTTCAGTTTTCCAAATCTAGCCAGAATCCTGGGTATACGTATAGTGAAGAAGGATGTCTCTGATTTCTTCATAAAAGTTGTAGAGGACACCATCTCGTACAGGGAGAAGAACAACGTCAGTCGCAACGATTTCATGCAGTTGCTCTTGGAGATGAAAAATAAAGATGGCGATGTCTCAGGTTTGTATACGCTGAATTATGCAGGGTCAGACCGGGAGGATCGCGATGGATTGTACAAGTCAAAATAATAAGAAAAAACTCAAGTGATATGCGGTTTTCATTTGTTTTCAAGCTATGACGTATATTTCAATAAAAAAATAATTTATTGATATTCTGTTAATCATATCGTTCTTTGATTCAAAGACGCCACCGTTAATAATAATAGTAATATTAATAATAATGATTTATTTAATCCATTGAGGTCAAAAATGTCATGACACAAAACATTTGTTACAAACAATAATGTAAAAACTATGAACAAAAATACATACAAATAATGTTTGACTTGTCAGTGTTGCGAGAAACAACTACTCCGAGAGCTATTTGCCCCTACCGGCATTGAATTATATTCGCAACATCTAGTGCAACAGCTAGGGTCGTTTGTCAGTTTACCCACCAGGCACAGACCGGTTTCGGATTTATTAGTCCTCATCAGTGTGTCATAGGTGCGACAACCGACAAACGACCCAGCTGTTCTTCGTCGTATCATCACGAAGAGGAAACACATTGTACGCGGGAGCCAATGGCTCCATCTTATTACGCCCTCTGTGGGTGGAAGTCGTGCAACAAAGTACCTGCAGTTAGCAGGTCGCTTCCTACTGTAGCCATTTCAATGGCACAGAAAATCTATTACATTGTTACTAAGTAAATATGTCGGCTACTTAGTAAAAACATTTACTCACAAGATAGTTCTTAAGTTTAGATTTAAGAGAATTTAGATTACTTTCAGTTTTTATGTTTTTTGGTAATACATTCATTAATTTTATACCCTTCTAAGAAGGTGACTTTTCCTCTAAACACTTTCTGCTTCGTCTACGAAAGGCGTCTGCAGCTCTCCTGATTGCTGCATGTCTTTTTTACAGTATTAATGATACGTCGAATTAGTGCCTCCCGAGTGTTCACTCTAATTTTGTACACTTCATTTTTCAACAAGCGCCGTTAACAGTAATCTAGTTCTGTTAGGTCTGGAGATCTGGGAGGCCAACTAATAGGACCAATCCTATGCAAGAACAATCCTAAGCAAATGTGAAGTACCTTTTCTAAAGAGGAAAATATTTAAAAATTCAGTTTTCTGTTCTATAAAATGACACCTGTCAAAATTTTGGCCCAACGAGCATTGGGGCAAGTCCGCTCCTGACTTCCTTAAAACTTCTACTGTGTAATGGTTTTATG